CACACAAATCGAAGATATAAATACGGGTTGCGCACCGAACAGCTATGATGATCGAACTCTAGAATCTGTTACTCTGTATCTAGGCACAAATTATACATTCGAAGCATCAACTCAGTATTCTAGTTCTGAAAAACTAGCGATTTGGATTGATTTCAATGATAACTTTCAATTTGAATCATCGGAACAAGTAGCTTATTATCCAACGATCATTATCGGTAATACAACCATTAAAATGACGATTCCGTCAAGTATTTCAGGAGGTGTAACAGGCAATCATCGAATGCGAGCTACAATAGCCTTTGGAGCAGTTCCCAATGCGTGTGGCTCAGCTAGTGCATATGGTGAAACGCACGATTATACTGTGAATATTGTAGCAAACATGGGTTAAGGTAAGCTATATATCAAATACAAGAAAAACTAGTAAATCAGTGAGAGTCGACGTATAGGAACAAAGTCGATTTTTTCTGGTTTTGCCATTGAGTTTGACTGCTGCTTTTGTATGTAAATTATATTAATTACCTAAATTTTTTATTGATATGATTTCTCATTTGAACAAAAAACTGTCTTGCAATCAACATTGTATCGTTTGTTTACACATTGAGTTTACCCCTTCGTAATTATTGGAACATGACACAATGAACTTTTCACATCAATCGACAGACGTACACAAGGATTTAAAATAAGAAAAACTGCTGGTCTAAACCGTCTATAGAATACCTTGTACATATATTTTTATTGAAACCATTTTTTTTTCTATTTTCAGGATAAAACACCATGGAAGGCAATTTACAATGGATAAATCCACATAATGCATCACTTACTTGAACTTATATATTTTTTTCTATTTTATTTATTTAATCCGTGACTAGGGTGTGATAGATTTCATTCTTTTATTTTGCTCCTATTATACTCCACTAAATCTCTAGAAGACACCAATATTAACATCTTGACTAATTCGCTCTAAACTGGAAATTACATGTATCTTTTCTTCTTTCCCCAATAAATGACATCATAATAAAACCATGTAAAGTGACGCTCATCGGTCTTATCAGTGTCTGTTTTGCGCCAGTATGAATCGGTGATTCATAACAACAGGGCTTGTCAAATTCTTTTAAAAGCTTCGGTTTGATGTATATATCAGAGTTTCCAATGGGATGGACTACAGTTAGCGTTGCTTTTATCTTCATTTCATCGAATGATGCGTTCATCGACGGTTAGGAACCCCTTCAATTGTTACTGTTTGAGTTAGTTCTCTCGGCATTGATAATTACGTTAACTATGATTGTGTTTTCAAGAGGAAAAAACATAGTGAATCTCGAGCACATTTCTCGGTAGTCGTGACTCTTCGTAATTGTTTTGCTTTTGAATTCTTTCGTTCTAAGTTGATTTGTGCAACTACGATACAATTTATGGTTTTGTTTTTCTCTCAAAATAATCTAAGACCGTATCGAGAATTTTGCCTGAAAATACGGCAAAAGACAGATCTCGTTGACGGTACCATATATTCGGACCAGTAATATATATATTATATGCTACGTGAATGTGTCTTTTAGTGAAAAATTCTAAATCTCTTTCTGAACTGAAAGCACAAATCCATAACTACACAAACAATCACATATCTAGTTGCTAACACACTCCAGTGTGCATTCACACGCAACATCATCAACATTCATTTGAAGTTAACTTTTGAAATGCGCATGATTATTTTTTGCATTTTTTTGTTTTCATTTTAATTATGTCGACACGAGAGTTGATTTATTATCAAAATGCAGAAGATTGAATAAGAAAAAGAAAATTGCATTCTTACATCTATAAATAGTTTCGTTCTACAGCAAAAGCACAACAACATAATATTCGTTCAAGAAATTATTTTTTCTTCATAATTCAGGACCATGTACGTAGATATGTGGGTATGAATGATGTAACTTTCATTGAGATGCAAAATATACTTAAAAACGCTATTCATCTACACACCTATCATCATCCAATGTTTGAAACAACTATGATTTTTATTTACATTACATTCCAAAATTAATTTGTGTCAAGCTTTGAAATCTACGACAAGAAAAACAATACTGCATTCTTACAATTATAATTCGGTTCGCTTTTCTAACACAATACACGAGACATCAGGCACACTATGGTTGGTTTCGAACTTCGTTTTTTGTATTTGAGATTGCAAAATAAATCCTTTTTTTTGTTGTGTTTAGTTGAACAGTAACCGAAACAGTATCTTGGTTAATGACTATACAGTACAAGGAGCTATTACATTAAACAATGACATCAGCAATATTCAAAACATGCCGAATGGTTCATCATTTGGATCTTCTTTTCACAGTTCACAACGAACGTCTGGCCCACAACAAAGCACTTGGAGAGTTCTATCGACGAAAATGAATACACAAGTTGATCAAGTTTCTAAACCGCCACGATTATCAGAGACACAGAAAAGTCTTTGGAGATCTGCATCAACCAATACCAATAAACATATTGATCAATCATCGGAACCAGTGCGAATATCCGATGTACAACAAAGTATTTGGACAATGCAATCAATGAAAAGTAATATAGATGTTGATCAAGCAGCTAGACCATCACAAGTATCTGAAGGGCAACAAAGTGTATGGAAACTTTCATCAACAAAAACAAACGCATGGGAAGGAGTCAATGGATCAACAATGAAATTACCTAAGGACGCTTTGTCGCCCAGTAAAACAATAGAATTTATGGGGTAAATTTGGCCGTGACCATTTCATAAGTAGCATTTTGATTTATATTTTACTTCAATTTCTAGACGTATTGCAGGTGATCTATTTTCATCGTCACGAGCACCTTGTTATGTTGGTTTGGGCATAGGTTTGTTAGCTGCTGGCATTGCTTTAGCAGTTGTTCTAACAATGTGGCTACATACAGGTAGATAGACAAAAGATATTCTATACTTGTAGATTCTATTTTCAATTCGAATATAAAACAGGTTCATTCGTCTTATTTGAGTTATTTTATTAGTTTTTTCAAATTCTCAGTTATACATAGTGCTTGAGTGAATCACGATGATTTAAGCACAAGTCAATGTATCGACTACTTAATATTGAATCTTTTATTGCAATGCTCATTTTATCAACTAACGGTGATAACACTTTGCGGAAGAATCTAGTAGCGTTCAACGCCAGCTCTGATTCCAGCTGCACATCCATCGTTTTTTTCTCAATAGAAATGTTCAATTTTGAAAAAATCTTTAAAAATATGTGGTCCATTAACATCATCATTTTTTGACATAGCTATTTGATTTTGTACTCATCATAAATATGAAAAATCAATTGAATGTTCAATTAGTTAACTACTATATTACTAGTGCAAGATAACCGAAATCAACAGTTCATTTCATATTAGAAAAATATATACTAAGATTTTATCAAGCATAATTTCGAGTGTTTAACCCAGCTCTGCCACGTCCACACTCAGTTAGTAGTTTTTCTTACACGAAAGTACTTTTTTTCTCAAAATTTCAAGTACATTTGATTAAAAAGAACACGTAAAAGTAAATGGACATCGTTTTATGGTCGAAATCATAGTTAAAGCTTGTTAGCGCAGCCCCTTTGGGGTTAACTGTGTGACTCACATATATCCCTTAGGCTTACTAAAATAATTCAAAATAGTTCTTCTGAAAAATCTACCTTGATTTCCAAAACCTACAATTAGGTCATAACCTATTTGCTTATGTCTGTAATGGTGTATTAATTGTTAGCTCGTATATTTAACAATGGCAGAGACTAGTTTCTTTTTTCGTGTAGTCTGTAATTAAACAAGGAAGAAATAGCAGCTTAATTAGTCAAGCTCCTAATTAGCACAATTTTTAACTCACTAATGTCTATAATTGAGAGGGAGTGGGGAGCCGCAAGAATCTCGCTTTTAAGCTTACACTCACTATTTTTTTCGAAAATATATGTGAGTTCCACAAAATTATATTCTTTTAGCATACAAATGAACTATTTTGAAATAATATACTTGCCCTTTTCATACTTCAACTTCGAATCAAACAATAAACGACTACATACTACATCGGATGGTCCAGAATGAATGGATAATTAATTTTTTTCAAAATTTTCTTTAGCCCTAACATTTTTTTAAAGCCAGTTATCGAAGGATGCATCGCAAACTTGCCCATTTATTTGGGACCAACCGATAGCACCCAGAGGATCATAAAAAAACTGAATAAATCTTAAGTCATTTTCAATTCAAATACTCTATTATTCTATGGTTCATTTTCGACGTAGAGTTACATTGGAAATTAGTACAACTCACTCGGCACATAAGAATCTAAATAGAAAACAGTCGATTCATACCAGTCACTGACAATGTAATTCTATAACTTATTTTATCATGCATCGTCAATTTTAGGATCAAATATCACAACAACTACAAGTACCACTACAACGTCAACTACAACAGCAACAACAAGCACAAGTACCTCTACAACAACAAGTACGAGCACCACTACAACATCAACTACAACTACAACGACAATGCAAATATCAGCTGTTGCTGTTAGTAGTCTAGCAGCATACTGTGGTTGTGCAGGATTCA